ATTGGAGTGGTCTACTACGTTGATGTCTTGTGCAGTCGTCCAAACGACCAAACCACTAGCGATGGCCATTTTCTCTTACTGCGGAACATTGTACGACGATGTGGACGCCCAAGACGTTCACCAGACTGTAACCTGATGAAAACACTACAGGCATCTTTATGGAAGATGTTGCCAGCTGATCTATGTTTTATGTTATTGACTCATGGTAGATCGAGGATGACATCAAATTTGGCATTTAACTACAGCAAAATGAAGCGTCATTGTGCTACGTTCATGTAATGTGTGGTGGGGATCCAAGACATTTTTTACCGTTACGCATGTGTAATAAAGTATTTAGTCAAATCCGTTCACCCACAGTCTCAACGTACAAACACAACAATTGCCGAGTTGAGTCGGCGACACGGGCTGGTACGCTTGGATTGATACCTACTCGGTTCGCCTCTTCGGGTTCAGTTATGGCTTTCGTCAAACTGATTTCTTACAACCAATCCTCCGGAAGTATGCCTGAGATCAGCAGCTTCTAAACCTCTCTCTCCCTGTGACTTCACACCAACGGGTGGAAGATGACGCATTACACTCTTTTACAGGTCACCAGGCGCAGTGTACGACCGACTAGAAGAATAAAGGAGCTCGTTGCTGAGGCCCACCGGTTTCTTCACTCAGACAAGTCTTTGGTCAACGATGCCGTATCTTTAGGCGCTCCGAATCGTCGTTGACGAGACTCACAACGGTCTCTTTGCTGAGGTTTACCGGCTCGTCGACGACGAGACTCCTTCTTTCGCTAGTAGCGAGCGCTGCCCAACTCGGGCATTCCTAAGCTCTTGACGCTATCGGTAGATACCTCTACAAGCTATGGCTCTCGGGGTTCGACGGCAGGCATAATCTAGCCCACGCAGGGACTTACCTTAAGTGTACGCGTGCATTAAGCTTAGAAAATTCTGCATTGTATTGCTTTATCTCTTTCGCTACATCGCAGAGCTAGTTTGAATGGATACCTGTTTTTCCATCGTTCTTACACACATTGAGTGATAAATCTGCTGCTCGATCTTCTCGCATTCTGCGCTGTAAACAGAGCTCACCTACTCTCGAGAAGTCGACTCTCGAGGAGGCCGACACTCGGGTCGCCAACACTCGATTCGCCGACCATCGATTCGCCGACACTTGAGTGTCCGAGTCTTGAGTCACAGGCTTTTCATTTGCTGAATGTCACACTGATGTCGAGAGGTTAATATTCTCTAGACCACACATACACCTGTTGCAAGGCGCATATCATCGTCGTAAGAGGGATGTCGCGCTCAACGAACTTAAGCCTACTGACCCGTAGAAGCCCGGCGTCACATAGAAATTTTGGCACCTTGCAGTCGACTAGGGGCCAAGGTCACAAGTTCTAGTCACTTTGACATTCAAGGTGATGAGAGAGACCTCATTACCACGGGCAGTAATAGGCAGAGGTTGTATATTGGGAGCAGCTTTTGACTAGATACCTGCGGATTCTCTTGGCGCCGATGGATCAGCATTGTGCTCCCACCTACTGACCCGTCCTTCTTTCGACGGTTGACCCCGTTGTTGCGACTTTGCAACAGCGCTGAACCTCGTCTCAAGGCCTACTTGGCCGACGGACGGCCGTTTGTTTTTGTGTAATTATCAATGTGTTCGGGGCAGTACACTCATAGACGGAGTGCCCTGTCCTATGACAATGATTGCATTTCTGCAACCGTTTTTACCTTGAAAAGCAGACACGTTCGCTCTCTACGTGACAGAGGTCCATTTGTTCTGGACCACCGCGCTCCTGTCGTATCGCAGATCGATAGACAAAAGAACTAGTTCGAGCCTGTATCAAACTAAAATCTTCCTGTTGCACCACTGAGATAGCTTGATCAAGTGATTTTAACACCAAGCGGAACAAGTACATCTTGACGGGATTATCCGTAATACCCTCGATCGACACAGTAATCGTTGTGTTTTCATTCATGAGGTGGGCAGGTCTGCAACTCGAAAGGCATCGTATGTGCTGCGCGTAAGCGTGCACATCAATTTTTCTTGTTTGAGGATTTAAAATCCGCACGAGCCAGGAAATCTGTCTACGGTGGCTCAAACGTTTGTCGGAGCCGAGACTCGACGACTTCCAATGACCAAATAGAATACGGATCGTGGAGCTTAAGCCCCAAGGCTCAAGTCGCCGCACGTCCAGCCAAGCTTGACCGCGCGAAGGCAACTTGCATCTCATAATTGACGATGCAAGGAGCCAGTATGGCGTCGTGAAACTCGAAAGACCAGTAGGTTTTTCAGATACCTCTGTACTTGGAGATATCAATATTCAAGGTTTGGAGACGATGCGCGTGCATCGACCCGCCCACAGCAGCATTGATTGCTGCTCTATGAATAGTTCTTTCCGTTCGAGCACAAGCTTTGATCAACTGCTGGGTCTGTTGAGAGCCCTGTTGGTGAAGAATTGCTACTTTTTTGTGTTTCGGCGACAAGTTCACATTGGATGAACTTGGATATAGTGGCATATTTTTGTCTCTACCCACAGACTTAGGTATGGAGCGAACAGCGGTTTCATTAGCGATCGCTGAGTGATGTTCGATGAAATGGACTCGCCGATATTGGTCATTTGTTATTATCGAAGTACGTAAAAGATGAGTGGCGAAGGCTGGAAACCCATACAAGTAGTTTTTCACAAAGTAAATCCAGAATCTAATTATCCACTAGAGTGCAAAGCGCATGCTGCCTATACCACCGTGGATGGAGGACAAGGTTAGGGCAATGTGTATCAATGAAATGGTTCTGCCCATTATCATGGATTTATTCGGACGTATTCGGGTCCGCTTCGCATCGTTCTTAAGGCTCTGCTTTTTATTTCTTTGGAGTGATTAAACAGAATAAAATCCAAACGGAACCTAGTATTGCATCTGATAATTAAATGAACCGGGCGAATTCGTTCATCAACGGACGCGGCCTTGGCACGAAGGTCAAGTATTCGTCCATGGAGCGTATTACTTCTACCCAGAATTATTTTTGACAAATCCGACAGTAGTACTCTGTCGGTCATAAATCAGCCGACTACAAACTGTTAGAAAGTGAGCATCAAGTGAATGAAATGACCTGTATCAGAACGCGCGCCAGACGCGTGTCGGCCACCCGCCAGGGGCCTCGTCAGTGGCTTGTCAAAATACAAGTGAGGATTACCTATCCTGTATCTTTGTGCTGCCTAATACAACACATAGAACCCTAAAGAAAGTTCCATGTAAGCTCTAGCGTAGGCTAAACCTCTGGAGTCGAGCCAAGTGCAACTTGCACTTCCAACAAAAACATCAGCCTATCGGATGACGCGAGCTTCCTCGTGTATGAGTCTGCTACCGATGCTCTAATATTTGGCTGCATGCGTAACGCGCCCTTGCGGCTTCGAAAATGTATCCGCATCAGATGTGCGTAGACAGCGCATCAGGTGTCCGTCAACATGTTGCTGGTCCCAGATCCAGCTGTACCACTGCTCGTCTCCAGCTGCTCTGGATCAGATCCAGCGTGTCAATGTCAAGTGTGTTAGAGGCATTCCGAGGCAAGCCAAGGATCGACACCCACTGGTTGTGGTGAGTAGTATACGCAGCTCATCCGAGCGGCTCGACAGGCGACTGCATTGGTCGCAGCCTGCAATCGTAGAGTCGATCGATGGGGTTGGCTGGCATCGAAGCCAGTTGCTCGCATCCATCAGCGCATCCACCGTTTGCGCAATCTGCGTCATGCACACTTATGAGTTAGTCCATCCATGCTTCCATTTCCTCGATGCCTCGATGGGTTGGAACGACGTTCTAGTCCGCCGCTGGATCTCGTCGGCACGCATAGCGCTCTTTTTTGCTGTAGTTGTAGTTGTTGAGCTGTGTGTGCTGCCATGGGCACGAGCAGTGGGCAGGGAATCCACGTTCAGCTCCACACTCGCAAGGCAGCCGCTCAGGATCTTCGGCACCCCTTTTGATTGCGCGGAGACGGCACGTGCTCCAGTGGGAGCGCCTCTCGCGTCCAGTGCATCGTGAGCAAACCATCCGAGTCCTACCGCCGACGCAGTTGCCACTGCGCAGGAAAAGCAGCGCACTGGGATCGACAGCACTGCTTCTTCATCGGCACTTGTCAATTTGCCACTCCCACCGCACCGCGCTTTCCCACCCATTCCACCCACCCGACACTCGCGCAACGATGCACGTCACGTCTTTCCTCGCTCTTTGCATGGCTGCCGTCGCGTCCACGGCTTCGGCGGACATGCCTGTCCAGGAAGTCTACTTTGACCCCGTTCCATCCAACACCCTCTGCAGCCAGGCCGGCTACCCGTGCAAAGAGACCGACATCTACGCCTCTGCCATCTGCGCTCAGCTGAACAACGACATGCTCAGCTTCAAGGGATGCTGCTTCGGTCTGTGCGAAAACGATGCGCGCGTCTTCCGGTGCCGAAACACTGCGTACCCTTGCGCAAGAGGAGACGACGGCGCGACCGGGGTATGCCGCTCGTACAACAACACCTCTCAGTTCGAGCAGTGCTGCTACCGCCGGTGCCCGCCCAACCAAAACCAGTAAGCACTTGGAGCTGACGATGGGGTCATGGGCTCTTTTGTAAACATTTGACGCCGCGCGAGAGTACTCGCCAACTGTTTGGGAAGTCGCAACTGGACGACGACAGAGTTTAAGTACAAAGAATCGACGCTGTTTGACGAGTCTGTTTGCGTTCTATTGCAGTTTGCTGTCTGTGTGTGTTTGCAGTGGTCGTGGTCGTGGTCGTTGTGTGGGTCGCACCCGTCCCGAGCAAAGCGCAGTGCAATAAAGAGGACGCCGCCGCATGGTAAGCATGCGCTACGTCGTAGTGATGTATTGCTTAGGCTTATTCAGCTAAGCTGATCGAATGGCAGAATACGCGTCTCTCAGGTGTAGAGCTATGCTAGTGCGAGCACTCCATTCCTGCAACAAAGTATTGCGTGACTTCGTAGTCCTTTGGTGCTACTCGTGTCTTGTCGATCGATAGGTAGTAGTCATCAATGCCCTGGAATGCACGACTAAGTATCGCGACTGGGCGGTGTTAAACCTGTCGCAGTGATCCAGCAATGTCATCGCATTTGGTCCATTTTGTATCTTCTATTCCTGCGCTGATCTTGTTCGAATCGAATCATCACACACACACTTACATGCATCACAATCTGCTAGCGCTGCCCAAGGTCCGCGTTCTTTTCCTTACTAAATAGAGAGACACGTCCACGCCCGTCTGCTGCCGTACCACTGCACTGCATTGTTGTTGTTATTGTTATTCTACACTGTTTCAGCCACTTGATTGATCCAAACATACTCAGCCCTACAAGACCGTTCTTCATGCTCGGCAGCTCCCTCTCCGCCAAACTCTTCGGCATGGCGCGTGCGTCACGGCCATATGTTAGTACCGCTCACTCCCGAGCATACGCGCGTACCAAGTTCACGCACTGCTCGACACCGAGCTCGTATACTGATGCCAGTGCGTCAGCTGCCGCTTGGCTTCTCAGGTACTCTGCTCCTCCGCTTTGCCGTCACGCTTTTCTCCTCGTCGACGTATTTGCCGCCCACAAACGACGTGAAGGTGATCGTCGTGCTCATCTTGAGCTCGCTTTTTGTTGAGCTGCTTCACCACAGCAGTTCGCAATCAGCATTGGTCGACTAGCGCGTTCCACGCCGTTTGCCCTTTCTCGTCCGATGATTCCACATACCTCACATGTGTAATAGTAGGCACATTAATCTAAACGTCAACGCCACATTGTTGCCGACTTTTGTACAAGACACCAACGGCTGGGTACAGTGCTGCTACAGCTGAAGCGCGCATAAGAGCTGCGCGGTCTCGTCACTTACGGCGCTCACAAATGCAGCACGTTGCCTATCGATCTTGCGGCTACCGGCATCATCAGCACGGCTTTGGCGACCTTTTCGCGCAACTACGCGACAAGTTCACTACTCCTTGTCGTGCAATCAATCAAATTATATTGAGGAATGTGCGAAAGTCGTGGTATGACCCTGGTTCGAAGGCACTTACTCTCGTCGGTGATCTGCCGAACGCCCTCGTTTGATCGATTGAAGATCCTTGGCTCCTCAACAGCAATTTGAGCATGTAATTGGACACCATGTGGCATGATGGTCTCGACGACAATTGCAATCCGCCAATGTGCCGGCCCAGACTTGCTTTAGATCGATAACGCATCGCAAAACACGCGGTCGAAGAAGACTAGGCTTGTAATATAGGTGGGAATGGCTCGTACGTGCTTGATCGGTCTCCAAACTCACAGGGTTCTCATATGCGTTGTCCGTGTGTCCGTGTGTCGACTAAATTCGAAGCCGAATGACGACTATCTGATAGCGTTCAGATAGAGAGAGATTGCGAAAGATATCGATCTGGCGCGTAGGCCTGGGCAAGACAAGTATCGATAAATGTGGTGTCTAGAGTTCAATCACGATTGCAACGAGTAGACTCCAACACATTCTTTGCAGGTCTATCACATCATCATGACCCGGTCCGAGTGGAGGACACCTTTGCGTTAAGATCACCAAGATCAAAACCTATCGCTCACCTCTCTCTTTCGTGTACACTAGACGCCGTAGCACGTGAAACACATTCACACATGAACCCAAGCGGCAGCTGATGCACTGGCATCGGTATACGAGCTCGGTGTCGAGCAGTGCGTGAACTTGGTACGCGCGGACGCTCGGGAGTGAGCGGGACTAACATATGGCCGTGACGCACGCGCCATGCCGAAGAGTTTGGCGGAGAGGGAGTTGCCGAGCATGAAGAACGGTCTTGTAGGGCTGAATGTGTTTGGATCAATCAAGTGGCTGAAACAATGAGGAAGAACAACAACAACAACAACAACAACAACCACAACAACAACAACAACAACAATGCAATGCGGTGGTACGGCAGCAGACGGGCGTGGACGTGTCTCTCTATTTAGTAAGGAAAAGAACGCGGACCTTGGGCAGCGCTAGCAGGTTGTGATGCACGTAAGTGTGTGTGTGATGATTCGATTCGAACAATATCAGCGCAGGAATAGAAGATACAAAGTGGACCAAATGCGATGACATTGCTGGATCACTGCGACAGGTTTAACACCGCCCAGTCGCGATACTTAGTCGTGCATTCCAGGGCATTGATGACTACTACCTATCGATCGACAAGACACGAGTAGCACCAAAAGACTACGAAGTCACGCAATACTTTGTTGCAGGAACGGAGTGCTCGCACTAGCATAGCTCTACACCTGAGAGACGCGTATTCTGCCATTCGATCAGCTTAGCTGAATAAGCCTAAGCAATACGATCACTACGACGTAGCGCATGCTTACCAGGCGGCGTCGTCCTCTTTATTGCACGGCGCTTTGCTCGGGACGGTAGCGACCCACACACGACCACGACCACGACCACTGCAAACACACACAGACAGCAAACTGCAATAGAACGCAAACAGACTCGTCAAACAGCGTCGATTCTTTGTACTTAAACTCCGTCGTCGTCCAGTTGCGACTTCCCAAACAGTTGGCGAGTACTCTCGCGCGGCGTCAAATGTTTACAAAAGAGCCCATGACCCCATCGTCAGCTCCAAGTGCTTACTGGTTTTGGTTGGGCGGGCACCGGCGGTAGCAGCACTGCTCGAACTGAGAGGTGTTGTTGTACGAGCGGCATACCCCGGTCGCGCCGTCGTCTCCTCTTGCGCAAGGGTACGCAGTGTTTCGGCACCGGAAGACGCGCGCATCGTTTTCGCACAGACCGAAGCAGCATCCCTTGAAGCTGAGCATGTCGTTGTTCAGCTGAGCGCAGATGGCAGAGGCGTAGATGTCGGTCTCTTTGCACGGGTAGCCGGCCTGGCTGCAGAGGGTGTTGGATGGAACGGGGTCAAAGTAGACTTCCTGGACAGGCATGTCCGCCGAAGCCGTGGACGCGACGGCAGCCATGCAAACAGCGAGGAAAGACGTGACGTGCATCGTTGCGCGAGTGTCGGGTGGGTGGAATGGGTGGGAAAGCGCGGTGCGGTGGGAGTGGCAAATTGACAAGTGCCGATGAAGAAGCAGTGCTGTCGATCCCAGTGCGCTGCTTTTCCTGCGCAGTGGCAACTGCGTCGGCGGTAGGACTCGGATGGTTTGCTCACGATGCACTGGACGCGAGAGGCGCTCCCACTGGAGCACGTGCCGTCTCCGCGCAATCAAAAGGGGTGCCGAAGATCCTGAGCGGCTGCCTTGCGAGTGTGGAGCTGAACGTGGATTCCCTGCCCACTGCTCGTGCCCATGGCAGCACACACAGCTCAACAACTACAACTACAGCAAAAAAAGAGCGCTATGCGTGCCGACGAGATCCAGCGGCGGACTAGAACGTCGTTCCAACCCATCGAGGCATCGAGGAAATGGAAGCATGGATGGACTAACTCATAAGTGTGCATGACGCAGATTGCGCAAACGGTGGATGCGCTGATGGATGCGAGCAACTGGCTTCGATGCCAGCCAACCCCATCGATCGACTCTACGATTGCAGGCTGCGACCAATGCAGTCGTCTGTCGAGCCGCTCGGATGAGCTGCGTATACTACTCCCCACAACCAGTGGGTGTCGATCCCTGGCTCGCCTCGGAATGCCTCTAACAGACTCGACATTGACACGCTGGATCTGATCCAGAGCAGCTGGAGACGAGCAGTAGTACAGCTGGATCTGGGACCAGCAACATGTTGACGGACACCTGATGCGCTGTCTACGCACATCTGATGCGGATACATTTTCGAAGCCGCAAGGGCGCGTTACGCATGCAGCCAAATATTAGAGCATCGGTAGCAGACTCATACACGAGGAAGCTCGCGTCATCCGATAGGCTGATGTTTTTGTTGGAAGTGCAAGTTGCACTTGGCTCGACTCCAGAGGTTTAGCCTACGCTAGAGCTTACATGGAACTTTCTTTAGGGTTCTATGTGTTGTATTAGGCAGCACAAAGATACAGGATAGGTAATCCTCATTTGTATTTTGACAAGCCACTGACGAGGCCCCTGGCGGGTGGCCGACACGCGTCTGGCGCGCGTTCTGATACAGGTCATTTCATTCACTTGATGCTCACTTTCTAACAGTTTGTAGTCGGCTGATTTATGACCGACAGAGTACTACTGTCGGATTTGTCAAAAATAATTCTGGGTAGAAGTAATACGCTCCATGGACGAATACTTTACCTTCGTGCCAAGGCCGCGTCCGTTGATGAACGAATTCGCCCGGTTCATTTAATTATCAGATGCAATACTAGGTTCCGTTTGGATTTTATTCTGTTTAATCACTCCAAAGAAATAAAAAGCAGAGCCTTAAGAACGATGCGAAGCGGACCCGAATACGTCCGAATAAATCCATGATAATGGGCAGAACCATTTCATTGATACACATTGCCCTAACCTTGTCCTCCATCCACGGTGGTATAGGCAGCATGCGCTTTGCACTCCAGTGGATAATTAGATTCTGGATTTACTTTGTGAAAAACTACTTGTATGGGTTTCCAGCCTTCGCCACTCATCTTTTACGTACTTCGATAATAACAAATGACCAATATC